GGGGGGGGGGGTGGTGGCTAAGGGAGAGTGAGGGGAGGGGGGAGGGGGGAGAGACACGGGAGGGGGGTGTGGGGGGGGGCGCGGACAGAGGCAGAGGCAAAGAGAGGTTAGAGAAGAAGACCAAGGCGTTCTCAATTGCGTGCGATGGTACTTCGAAGCATTTGCGTGCGATAAGTACCGGAGGAGCTTGGTGATAAAGGTTTGAGGATAAATAGCGCACGTAACGATAAAACAACACACGTAACGCCCTGTTTTCGTTCTCGTCTCCACTTTTCTTTTGTGTTGTCGTCTGCTCTCCCTCTTCTTTCCCGTTGTGGTTGAGACAACTTTGCATACTTTCTCCCCTTTTCTCTTTCCTCTCTCGCAGCCAAGCTCCCCAAAACTATGTCATGACGTTCCGGTTGTTACGCTCTTCTTCTCGTCTTTGTTCTCTCCCTCTCTCGCAGTCGAGCTCACCTTTTTTTTTTTACTTCTCATGACGTTCCGTTTTGTGCTTTTTTTCTCAATGTTTTTTTTTCGCTTGCTCTCACGCAGCCGAGCTCTGGGCTGGTGAAGAAAGCCATCCAGTTCAAGAGAAAACTGCGAGAGTACGTGGACGACGTCAGGGTGCAGACCTTCCTGCACGCAAGGCCCAAGTAAGAGCTCGATGGGTTATCCTGTTTCTTTTCGACGACCTTTGCGCCTGTCATGGGGGGCAAGAGGGGGACGTGCAATGACGCCGGGGTTACGGCAGTAAGTTGTCCGTGCAGTCTTGATTATTGGCAAGCACAGAGAGACAGCCGTACTGTACTGCTGTAGCAGAGCCGTACACTAGCAAGAACGAGATGCCGAAAACCCGGCCGGGAGGGAAAGAGGGAAGTCAAGTGTGAGTCAATTTTTTTTTTCTCAGAATACAGGATAGCCGCATTTTTTCCAGAGCTTTTTCGTGTGTGTCGCAACGGAAGTAAATCTCCAATCCACACCAAGTTACGCAGATAGTAGGGAGGGCTGGTGACAGCAGATGAGTTTTTGTCAACCCCGGCGAATTCGAAGATGCTACCAACAACAACAACGACAACAACAACAGCACACAACAACAGCACACAACAACACACAACAACAGCACACAACAACACACAACAACAGCACACAACAACACACAACAATGGCGAATGGTCCCACGCATGCGTGCTGTTTTGTTTGTCTTTCGCTGCTATAGCTCTGGGCCAGTCGACGTATCCTCCAACGAGTTGATGGGCAACATCGGCGAGGTCAAGGGCCGCGATGTGGTGATCGTGGACGAACTGATCGACACGGGAGGCACGCTCGCGGCGCTCCCGCGCAGGCTCAAGAAGGCCGGCGCCATGGTGAGCTAGCGGCTGATATCTTCGGCTACGCCCTTCGTTGTTCGTTGTGGGGTCATGCGGGCCGGTACAACAGCTAGTGTTATTCCCTCTCCGGAGGAGTAGCAGCATAGTAGTGTAATAGTGGTGAGACACTGCTGTGAATGACGGTTTTGAAAGGTTTTGGTTGGGGGTTTAACCCTTTGAGCACTGGATGCCCAAGTGGGGACAATCTTGGGGACACAGCACTCAAACGTCCGTTTGCCGCACGGATTGGCACCACTTGGCTCCGCTGTGTGATAAGCACGTGGGGAACGTTGCCAACCATGCTTGTGTAAGCGTGGCACGCTGTGTGATGCGCGGTTGTGATGCCTCTCCTCGGCTTCTGACTTGCTGCACACATGTCTCCCAAGCCGCGTGTCCCCTTACTGGTGAAAGTCTACATAGCCTAGTCCTGAAAAAATGTGCTGACTCGGCTTCAGTATGGAAAATGTCCCCGGTGCATTTGGAAACACTTTCCTGTCTTAACCCATGTCAGCATTCTTCCCTCGGGACTGTGCAGCCTCTCCCAATTAGCGGATGCGATTCTTGCTGGATCTAAAACTGACTGCGTACCAGGAGGGTGGGAAGAAATTATCGGTCGCCATCTTGAGCGTCGCTTGGGTCAACCAGGCGATCGCATAAACAGGTCGTTATTTCCGATGTTGTTAAACCCTCGCCTCGTCTGCCCGTGGGTACCTATCATAGCTACCCCCGGTAACACCAACGATAGCTCGCTCACCACATGCATGCACACGGAGTTTGGCTTCATGTAGCTGAGAAAGAGAGCGTGCGAAATGATGATGATGATGGCGGTGACGAACATAAGCACGGGCACATGGAAAAGCATGGCTGTATGTGAACCAGGGTCAATGCTTCGTCTCAGCCTACCCACTATGGCGGCATGGCTCATGCACCCCCCCCCCCCCCCCCCCCCCCCCCCCCCCCCCCCCCCCCCCCCCCCCCCCCCCCCCCCCCCCCCCCCCCNCCATGGAGCGTAACATGATGTCCGATGCACAAGATGACCACCTAGCTGTCTTGTAGAACCTGTTACCCACACGGGAGATACCGCCGTTTGTTGCTTGGGCAATCGTAGGAACACAGGTAGCACCCCGCTGACGCTAGTTTATCGTAGACCCTTGTCCATGGATGGAGATGTATTTGTTGTGCCCCCCCCCCCCCCCCCCCCCCCCCCCCCCCCCCCCCCCCCCCCCCCCCCCCCCCCCCCCCCC